ATATATTAGTTATTTGCTATTTGCTTCATAGTTCTGCTTTGTGGTAAAGTTAGTAAAGCAAGTGAAAGAAGAAATAAAGCACAGAAGAAAGAGAGAAGTTAGTGATTAGTCAGACCTTTTGTTTATTTTTTAGTATCATATTAGAAGACACAAAGAGGAAAACATAGGTAGAAGTTAGTGTTAACACACACAAGTACTGTAAATTCTGAGATGCACGTTTTTTTTTTTTTGTTTTTTTTTACAATATTACAATATTCAAAGAAATTGTACAGAAAACAGTCAAGAGACAGGAAAAAAGAAGTACAGGAAAGTTAGAAATGGCCTGTTAGAAGTTAAAGTGTTAATAGTTTTTGCGTTTATATACACAACAGTCACTGTAGACACACTGAGCTGTACAACACCTAATCCTTCAATGGCTTAATGCTTTGTCGACGACATCATTCATCTTGTAAAAACTGAGACCTTTTGGAGAGTGTTTTGGTGGTGTTGACACATACTGCACAAAAAAGGAAAGGCTGAGAGACGGCATGTTTTCAAAGTGCGGAAATGAGCGAGCTACCCTTCCTGTCAATGTCATATCGTTTAAACAGTTTTACCTGGCAAATAAAAGAATGGGACTGTACAAAAATTATTAGGAAGGTTTGTGGAGTCAGAAAATAGTTGGCGGCAAAATAGTTTCTCCAACTAAATTTACTCAAAGGGGCTAAACCAGTAGCTGTAAGCATTGGCATATTACACTGTCTAAGCTTATCATAAGACTTTTTCTATAGTGTCAATTACAAAATAACACCATTAGGCAGTAATGATGCTGAAATTCTTTCCAGTGGATAGCGTTTATATAAACTAATCTGGAAATCACAAACATCTCTACTATAATCATCTTTAGACAGTCCCAGATTGTTAAGATTCTCCATATAAAACTAAAATTGGTAAAAACATTTCTGCTCTCTAAAAGCTCTGCAAGCTTTCTTTGGTTTGAGCTAAACCCCAACAGTCTGAAGGGAGTCTGTCTGTATTTTTATGTAGGCTTTGGATAACACACTGTCGCTAACTGCAAGCTAGCAAGCGGATCAAACAAAAAGTGTTGAGCTGCCAGGTTCACTGTTCTTGTCACCCAGCCAACAGATGATTGCAGGAGAGGGTGTTCAGTCTGTTTGCATTAACTGATTTCTGCCATGGATGTCACCTCATGCACTGTTGTCGTGATTTGGTATTATATAATATGGATATTAACATTTTCCAACAATATTCAATGTTACATATTCACGTATACTGGGTACAGAACTTTAAAAATAAGCAACTGGGCTTCAGTGGACCTGGGCATCAGCCACCCATGCAATATAAACTAACAAACAATATAAGCCTAGGCGTGACACATCTGATTACCATAAACAAACATTTTAACATACAAATACTGTATATACAGTAACATGGTAGTTTAGAGTGACTTATCAAAAACCTTCCAGTGCAGTTTCTCCTAAAGAATAACTCCACCAACGAGTGATTTTTATATCATATTGGGAACATTAATATCGTTCTGTGTGGTTGTGGTGTTAATCCCCCCCCACCCAAAAAAAAAAAAAAATCTATATCCAGCTTAAAAAAATACCATCTGCCTTGCTGTTAAGCATAATAGAAAAAAATACTGATTATCTGTACTGAAATAGTCATTGCACTATGGCTCTGAGAGTCCTGTCATATATTTAAAAAAATTAAAAGTGCATCATTTTGCGTTTAATGAAAAATAAAAGCTTTACTTAATCAATCTTTTAATCACTACGCAGAAATAATTCTCACATCATTTTCTCTCCATTACAGTTATTGCAGCTTCACAGTTTCCCCTCATGAAGTTATTTAAATAAAGAGTTCCTCCACTATTTTATTCTTTTATTAAATAATGGAGGTTAATTTTTGAAAAATTGATTCAGTTAAAAACAAGTAGGAAAGAGAAACTGGCTGAACCCCCCTGCGGCTGTTTTTTTTTTATTTTATTATTATTACTGGTAAACAAACACATGCTGACTCCTGAAGGGTTTTTCCTCCGTTGGTTTCAATATTTATAAGATTTCTTTCATTTTAGTATATTTATAATTCAACCAATTTCCTATTACAGTGGCTCTTTACGCTATGCTAACTTTCAAAACATAGTTTTTCAGCATTTAAATAAAACTGCTGCCCCTAACAGCTATTTTGCTCCTGAACCATCTTCAGCTTGCTGGCTGACGTTAAAACTTTTATATCCATCAGCTTATTTGCATATGTGAGGCTGTGGATAGCATCCTGTGTACCATTTCACACTGTAGAGGTGCAAGTTTCTGGTTTGCTAATAAGATAAGAAGCTACCATATTAACGTCATAAGACCTGAACTCACCATGGCATGCATTTTTAATTTCTCTCTGCTATTTGGGCTGATTCGACCTGATGAATGTAAAAATAAAGAATTATCTTTTTACCTGATTTTGCTCTACAAGGGTCTGATATCCATATATGAGGACATTTGTTTTAAATTTTGATAGAACAGTGGCAGTATAATGTCTTTGTAAGTGGATATCAGGCCCTTGTAGAGCAAAATTTAGTATAGTTAGTTAGTAGTTTTTAGTCTAGACAACCCAAAATGTGATGTCCACATATGTGGACATATGGGGACTGCAGGTCCAGGAGGTTAAAGTTATGGAAGTCTATGGAAGACATTGCTGTTGCTGTGTACTTTCCTCACAATTTTATAGGCTCAAACTATAGTTTCAAGTAATACTGAGTAAAACTTGCATGCAGTTAATGTTGTACATGTTGGTCATTATTCAAACCAAAAAACTCTATATATGACTTGTTGTCTTGACCTTGAATTGGGAATAATACCACAATGGTATTAGAAACCAAACGTTTATAACAATTAGATTGTGCATATAACAAGCTTGGGTTTGACAAGCAGATCAGATTTTCAGCTTTAAGTAGATGGCGACCATGTTTTCAATCTGCATGTGTGGAATTATGGGATTTATAGCAGTAAGTGCTGTTTGGAGTTCAAGTCCATAAGATAAAGCACAAGTCTAATGATCTCCATTTGGTAAAGTTTGGTTTCTGTGTACAACTTGTGGGATTTACACACTGACAACTTGAGACATCATATGTAAGTTGTTATTCTTACAGTAGTACATCCTAGTTCACTTTGAGGACACATGCATAGTTAGTGGTCTGTTAGTTTAAAGGTCAGCATTCACACTGTGATCGCAAAATTTACATGACCGGCACCCTCACTGATAAGTCTTAAGATTTCACACGTTTTGCTGTGCTGTGCTTTGTTTTAAACAACTTCTAAATTCCTGGGAAATCTTTAAAAGAAAGTATAGTGTGTAAAGTTAGCATATACCAAAGAGCCACGTGACAGACAAATATACAGATATCCTCATCACTTTGATCAACATCATCATTTTTCCATGGCACACATCTCTAATACAACACCTCCATGTGTCTTGGGTAGTTTTGCCATGTCTACTAGAAAAACTAAAGAGGCTTTTACTTCAGGAACCAGACGTGTCTAAAACAGGGAATCCCACAAAATATACACCCCGACCACATGATGAAATGAAACCTAATACTTTTGAGTTCTTTGGTTCAGAGCTCCCTGTATCCTCTGAAACCCTCAAACAAAGTCCTAGATTGGTCCCAAATACTCTGCTGATGACATTATTTAAGGTCCACTCCCGGCCTCATAATAACTAATAGATTTCTAACGTTTCCCTGGCAGTGATTTCTCTGCCACACCTGGCCAATTTATTTCTGTTTTTGGTCCAAACTGACATCGTTAAAAGTAGATTAGGAACACTGAGTTGCTGTTAGAACCTGAGAAGGGAGCGGCCGGCTGCTAGGTTTGCGGAGAGAAACATGACAGATGTAGAGAAGAAGAAAATTGGGTAGTAAAAAGTCTTTCAGACGAACATGAAGCCTAAGATCCCCAAACATGTGTCTTCATGCATCTGTTGGCACCCCCTACATTAGTTCAACCTGACCTGATTATTATGAAGCTGCTATATTGAGACAGATAAACTCCTGAATGCATTTCTTATACTGCTGCTCAGTGGGGCTGCTGATTGGGTATTGACCTGGCTGTCCAAAGGGTCCTTCTGACTCCCGCATCTCATCGTTCATCCGGGCAAGACGCAGCCTGAAGGAAAAAATGAGAAATCAAAAAGAGGATGTTAGTTATTTGAAAAACACTTAATGGACTCTATAGTGCGTAAGTAAAACAACATACAGCGTGACTATATCTGCGTTGGCTTGCTGCACAGCTATACTCAGCGGATCCTGGCCATCCTCGTCACCATCGTTCTGTGTAGCTCCTCGTTTGAGGAATAAACACACCTGCCTGGAAAGACAAAAGAAAACAAGATCAATTATAACCAGACCTCAATGGTAATCATTTTTTTTAAATATTTCAACCACAAGTTAGGTCACGTTTCTTTTACACTGGATGTATCTGTAAAAGTAAGGAAGGTTTAGTCTGTTTCCTTGTTGCAACCGGGGCCCACACAAAAACTAACCAAGGGCCGTGCTTTGAGAAGCCTGGCACTATTGGAGTGAAAATATGATTTATAGCCACTTTCAGTCAAACAATGGTTTTCCCGGGAGAACAACAAGCCTGAACTTCTCATAAAAGGAAAAGTCAATTCTTTTAAATCACTCATGCATGCCTTTTAAATAAGTTTCCTGCACGAGGCTCATTGTCCTGGACAAGCTTAGCATCACTCCAACAAAGCTCGCTTTACTAAACTGTAAACCATGTGTGAAGTGGTTAGAAATGCAGCGGGGAGAGTAAAACTCCTCATGACTCACCCCGTGTGTCCCAGATACGTGGCATGATGCAGGGGCCCCCTCCCTCTCGCGTCTCTTTGGTTGACGTCAGCAGCGTTCTGGAGCAGAAACTCACAGGCAATCAATGAGCCCTAAAATAAAGCAGAAGTGAAAAGATGTTTACATTGGATTATGTCATAATCAGATTTTTTTTGTCTAATGAAAGACCGATGTGAGAAGTTTCCAGACCTCTTCGGTCGATTCACTCACCCCGATCACAGCCTGCATGAGGGGCGTTTTTCCTTCGTCTTCCTCGTTTACTAAATTGACATCAGCTCCATGAGCTAGCGCTGCAGCCATGACGGGGAGGTTACGAGCTTTCGAGGCTTTATAGAGCAGGGCTCCGGGATGAAGATCCCTTAGGTCCTCCAGGTCTGACGTCTCTGGCTCGGCCTCCAGCTCAGCCTCTCCGCTCGAGTCCTCGGACACCTCACACTCTGAGGACAGCGTAACATAACTCAGCAACAGCATACAGACATAAAAGCAGCTCGTTACAGTTCATCCCCTGGACTCACCCTCCTCTGTGACGCTGTCCACTACTGAGCCAAACACCAGGATGTCTGTGCTGCCGTCTGTACTGCCTCCCAACCCGCTGTCGCTGCTCAGACCTGCCGGACCGGGAGGCGCCACAACATGGACACATTAGTCACAGCTGTCTCTTTCAGAGCGATTAGTGTCATTTTAATGGTGCAATAGTGAACACACAATCCAAGCTCTGTATTCCCATGCTTTAAAATGTGTGGTACAAAGGTGTGAGTGTCACAGTAGGGAGTTGCTTACTTCGAGGCCCAGATCCTGTATCAAAGTAGGAGAAGAGGGAGTCCAGCTCATCGGGACAGAACAGAGATTCTCGTCTGAACTTAGCAGCTGCTATGAGATGAACAGAAAGAAACTTTTTAAATGGTGTCTAATTTGTATGAAAAACACTGGAAAACTACATCACTAAGCTGCATTTCACCTGACATACCTGAGGAGAAGGTGGAGGGGGAGGTGTTTCCAGGCTCCTGTCGGTATCTCCGCCGTGTTTTGGGCACCGTCGTAGCGCTGTTGTGTCTTCGGCATTTCTTCACACTCCACCGCCGCTCCGATTTCCTCTCCCCGTTGATGAGTATCTCAGTGGAGCCCAGCTTCTTCAAGAATTTCTTCTCTACATATTTTGCCTTAATCCAGGCCTCTTTTTCTTGCCTGAGCAAAACCACATGACATACGACTTTTGATGTTAGTGCCTCAAAGGTCACATGTTTATAGATCAGATTAGCTGCGCTTCATCAGTTCTCACCTTGAGCTGGATGGTAATGGTTTCTTAAGACCTTTTTCTTGGCAGGAGCCTTCATAGATGTGGTTGATGACGCTGTTTCCGAGTTCACACATCAACTACGAGGAAATATGACAATGATTAGGAACTTAAAGTAATAGTTTGATAGTTTAGGAATTATATTGGGCTTTTTGCTAAAGGGTAGCTGAGATAACCCAGATCACTCCCTTGTCTTTTTGTAAAATATAAATGCTTGCTAGCTTAGCATAAAAACTAAAAAGGGAAACTGCTAGTTTATCTAAGCTAAACAAAGTCACCGTTGGTTTAACATTTCTGTTTTTAAACTAATTAAACAAACAAAGCTCGTATTGGTTTCAGAGAAACATTTTGATATACATTTTGTGTATTTTGAGTAGTTGCCTTTAGACCACAGTTAGGGCTGTGCGATATGACCAAAATCTCATATCCCGATATAAGAATTCTATCATCCCGATAACGACATAAATCACAAAAATGTAACATTTTCTGTAAATTCTGTGCATCTCGGGCAGCTCGACTTGCGGGAAGTGTTTCCAGCTGCGCGTCATGTAGCTGGAGTCGAGTGTTTTAACCAATGCATGAAACGATACATTTTTAGACATAAGTTGTAAAGGCCGCCATTTTCTTTGTGAGTATTTATTACACGGCGTGCTGCGGGGAAAAGCCTGTTCTAACGTTTGAGTCTAAGGTTTATTTTTTAGCACCTGTCGGCTCTTTTTTGCTTCTCATCCATAAATAATCTGCTCTTTCACGTGATTCAGTTTATTTTGAAAAGTCTCAACAGTTTCTTGAGCTTTATTGTGAAAGGTTTATGTGGTACATAAACACGCGGACACGCGATGGTGTTACCGTCGTTGTTGCTAACGACAATGCATAATAACAGGCGCTAATCCGTCTGTAGTGTGGTTATATTAAATCTAAGAGAAAGAGAGAACTTTAAGAAATTAATATAGCCACTACAGTGACCATCAAAACAATGAAAAAATATTGCCGTAAACAGTTTATTTTGAAACAAACGATAGCGTAAAATGAAACGATAGACGTTTTTATATCGTCATCCGATACATATCGTTATATCGAACAACCACAGTTAATATAATTTTAAATTTTTCTGTAATTTCTTAATGAATTTCAACTTTTGCCTAAATATTATGAACCAAACTGGAGTTTCCAGTTTGTTTCATATTATTTAGTTATAATAGTTTTTATTTGTTTTAGTGTTAGTGACATAGAAGCCTTTTTTTTTTTTACATTGATACATTATATACAATATAAAGTGGGTTATTTTATAACAATGTATTATGTTACGATATAAATACTTAAGTAATGGTCATGTAGATATCACATTCTCAAGAAACATGTTCATAAATGGTTTTGAAGATCAAAACAATTCCTGTATTTTTCTCTGTTTTAGATCATTTTATCAGTGCAAACTATCCTTTACTTTTATAAAAGTCTTATTATTGTTTTTATTTCAGTTAATTCAGTGTTTTTAAATCATTTTTTCCAAATAAGGTGTTCATTTTAGCTGGTTACAAGGATACTGCTTTGGAAAAAGCCAAACAAATAGGTTCCTCTTTAGTCTGACTTACTATCATATCTTATATTTTTAATGTTTATGGAGGTGTGCATGCACGACGGTCTGTTTGTCTGTTTGAACAGGTACACTCGTGTTTTAATGTGGGATTTCATCCAAACTGGGAAGCCTTTTGTCACAGTAGGTTTTAACAAGTGCTATAAGCCAGTGATATCCATTTTTCATCTTCAGGTTATTCTAGTGATGTGTTAAAAACTGCCCCATGGCTGTTTAGCTGAGACTAATTGTACCTTTAATAATTCTGGTTCCCACGAGTCCAGCGTGAGTGAGCGCACCTTTGAGCAGTGAACTCCAAGACTCCTGCAAGAGAAACATATTCAGAGTCCAGAGATGTGCTGTTGATGTTCTGTAGTCAAACTGTTTAGTGCTTAAAGGGGAAGAATTTCACTTTGTTAGGACTGTAAAGCAGCAGATGGCGTCCAGCTCGACAAAACAAAAAGCAGTTTATATTCTTCTAATATGAAAAGATGCACCATGGCGTTGTGTGGTGACCTGATTTGAATCCCGGGCTCCTAATGTCATGCAAATCACTGTCTGGTATCTAGGCAACTGTTGCACGTTAGAAAAAAACTGCACTGAGCTACAAGAGGCCACGTCTGATCTCTCTGTGAGAAGAACAGTCCAAAGGAGGAGCATGAATATTCAACTGGTGGGCACACACGCACACACGCATTCAGGGACGGGATTTGAGATTACATAAGCAGTGAAAATTGTGGCTGCAAAATAAACAAAACTCCTAAGGGATCAGACGCCTGAAAACGACCCTCAATGACGCCACAGTGTGATGGAATGAAACAAAAGTGCAAAGGAAGTGTCTTTCTGCAAACATGGTGCCTCCATTCAGCAGCATTACATCATATCCAGCACTGAATTCAGCTATTCAATGACTTATCACTCTGTGAAAACTCTCACTCAAGGCACGACTGATCCAATAAGCAGTGTCCTGCACTTTAATCTGTCAGCAGCGTGTGTGGCAGAACGTGCTCTCCCAACTTTAGCAGGCTGCTGGCACCTCTTCCTGTCCTCAGAGCCAGCAGCCGCCACACAGCACGAGGCAGGTTTAGAGGAAGCGCTCAGATTCTTTAAGTCCACCCTAAAGATGCTTATCGTGCTTAATTGTGCAGTTTGACATTGAGAGGCTGTTTTCACACTCTTCTTCTGTTGGGAAGTCAATATGACTATGATGACCTTCCCTTTAACGTGACACTGGCAGACTCCAATGCTAAGCTAAAAGTGACAACCTACGGAAAATATGACAAAAACAACCCAGGACTGTGGAGCTGCTGGAATACTATCAGACAAGAATGAGTCAAGGTTCCTCTTCCAGAGGACTCAGTTCCCACGTGTTTATAGACTGTAGTTAAAAGAAGAGGAGATGGTATAGTATAGTAAACATGGCCCTGTCCAAACTTTTCTGAGAATAATGCAGGCGTTTTTTCTACCTGTGGATGCCGGAGCACTCGATGCACAGCAGGATGCCGAGGTTGATTGAGGCCCAGCGAGGGTCGGCCTGACCGCAGTCGCAGCACTGCTCGTTCCCCGGCAGACACTGGATCCGCTGCAGGATGGTCTCGCCCCGGGCGCTGCGCTCCCGTGGCTCACTGGCTGAATCGATGCTGCTTGTGGATGGAGAGGCTGTTCTGTCCAGATGCTACAAACAAATGCTATCAGTTAGGATGGAATTTCATTCAATTTTAGTGAAACAAAGTATTATTTGTTATAAATTGAGAGGAAGTATGTGGAGTTGTGTCGATGTGAATTAAACTTTACAGATTAAACAAATGAGATAGAACGTTAAGTTTAAATATCCTAATAGGAACATCTGCTACGACTGGACTATTCTTTTATAACAGGTATTTTAGTCTAGGGCATTGCAGCATAATTTATTAACTGATCATAGAGCAACTGTGGGTGTTAGATAAATAGATTATAGTGGAATAAAAAGTACCATATTTGAATTAAAACATGGAAAAACATCTCATAAACAAGCATTTTTTCCCATTAATTTTGACTCACCTCTATGTAGTACGTGTCTGGGCTCTCTCTGTAGGCTGAAGCGATGCTAGCTTGAACAGCCTGAATCCACGAATGTCTTAACTTCTCAGACTCAGCCTGAAGCATACAGCTCCTGAAAGACGCCCACATTATATTCATGAATCAGAAAAAGGATTGTTGTAATATTTATGATTACCTAAAGCACAGATTAAGAAAGAATAAAGTAAAGCTGATGCTGTACCTGCACAGCAGTGATTTGAACAAAGCAGTCAATATTTAATTTATTTTTTTATGTGAGTTTAAATTTAGAGATACTTAGTAAATTGAAACTTTGTGATAAGTAACTTTAAAATTTGAGATATGGCCTGAATTCCTGTATTTATGACTGAGGTAGGATCTAGACCCTTGATGACCCTAAACTGGATGGATAGGATTGATTGTTGTGCAATCATTTTCTCTTTCAGCTATAAAAGTCTCACATAGATGCGTGCTAATTTTGGCTAAGATTATTACCAAGGAACAATTTCTGATGGGAAAATTCTAATCCCAATATGATGACTTCTGGCTCTAAAAAAACAACATGGTGGCAGCTAAATTACTATGTTGTGGCTTGAAAATGCAAAACGCAGAAATCAATGGGTCACTTTGCTACAGTCTGTGATTATTACTAGACAAATAAACATGACACAGACACACTTTGACTTTGTGGCGTCTCTAGAGGAAAAGTTACAGGATCACCATAGTCAGACCACAGTGATCTGAGCCATTGATCCCAGTATGGTCACCAGTTTATCATTATCATGGCATCGTGCTTATTTACTTGGAGGGGGAGACGACTTCAAAGCAGAACCTCCTCTCGATGTCCTCGCATGGTTTAACAGAGCATAGCCGGAGGTCCTCCACTACCACCGTCAGAGAATCCTGCAAACACAAAAACATATTCCTGCTATCATCAACACAGAAAACAGCCATTTTCCTTCTAGAATATACATTTTTCCTGACCAGCTGTTGGCTCCCCCTGAGGGTACACTGAGACCCGAGAGGTTAAGCATTCAGGCTAAAACAGACAGAGCAGTTTTTATTTTATGTTTATTAATCTCTGACCTGCTTAACATGCATAATTCAATGTAGATCACCATAAACAGCACTACTAAATTTTCACAAGCCACATCATCCCTAAAGAAAGCTGACATGGACTAAAGTGGACTTACCTTGAGCTTCTTCTGATAGACCAGCTGACTGTTTTGTATGGAGAACCACCGTCTAGACAGAGGGAGAGAAATAAAAACATTTGAAATGGGATGCATCACATCATCACAACCTTTTTAAGGTATTTTACTCTTTATTAGTAGTATTATAAAGTTTCTAAAGTAGGTCACCTCCTCTGTTTTTTGGATTATGTTTGGAATAACTGACTAAAATCACGGAGCCAAACAAATCTCCTGTTTTATAAAGAGATTCTCTAAGCCTTAAGAGATACAGGACCTTGACATATGGTTAAAAGCTCTGATCCCAGAGAACAAACCTTTGAGCTTCGGCTGGCTCCATCAAAGTTTGGTTGGCTGCTCTAACATATTCATCCCTCTATATTAATAAAATCTTAATAACACCATGAATTCACCTTTAATAGCTTCTGTCTCTCCTAATCTATCCTTTGCTTAGGAGAAAGAGTCAAGCAAGCCTCCAGCAGGTCCTGGTGATGTATTGACGTCACAGTTTGCGTGATTAATGCATTATGCATAGCATGAGCTAGAACTGGTCCCCACTGAGGACTCGGTTAAATGCAGAGAACACATTTCCCTACATTAATAAAGGATAACATAAAACATTTACCATGTATTTATTTACAAATGTATTAACTATGACTATGCATCTAGTCTAGAATAATTTTTTGTTCCTTCTGCTTCAGGTTTTGCATTAAGAAACTCTTAATGACTCTTTAATGGCCCATCTATGTTAAAGGAAGATGATAAAAATGTATCTTCAAGGCTCTTTCTGACTGGAAATTCAAGATTTTATCCTCTTTAATTGAATCTGAGATTTTACCTTATAAAGACAATTCATTATATTTTCTAAATTATGTAATTAAAATTAACTACTAATAAATTCTAGTCCTCTTAGTAAATAGGAATTTTCTTTATTTCTACTTAACCTTTTTCCTTCATGTAGTTCCTGCCTATTATGAAGTATTCTATTGAGCAATATATTGAGCCTGCTTATTAATGCCATTTGTTTGGTTGTGTTTATTGTTTCGTCCATAACTACTCGTTTTTAAGATATTTTCCTAACTATTTTCTTTACTCGTCATTTCACCAAATTATTACTAGTACTTTCGATAAGTTTGTCATTTTTGTGACTTAAAATATTCCCTTTAAAACTTCACTCGGTTTTCAGAGTACCGGGGTTACCCTGGTAACCAAACTTTTCTTTATTGCGTGACATATTGTATAATGAAAGTAAAACTGCTTTGTCAGATCTCTTTGAAAAGGAGTTAAGGCTTACGTAGCATAAATGTTTGTGTGGATTTTTGTAGTTACCTGTTCCAGGTCTTAAACGCATTGCTGGCCCTCTTGAACAGGTAGCCCTCCATCACCACACCATTAGGAGCATCCACGTTAAACTCCACCTTCGATTCGTCATAGGAAAAGTCCTGAAGGAGAAGAAGGGCAAAATAAATCCTGTCTGTCACAGATGGAAGCCAAAGGCCTATTTACTGCTGGCAGGGTGTCGTTTTAACCTGTTAATGGCCAAATGAGGAAAACCAAAATTTTTTCTGTAGTGAAGAGGCTGCATCTGAGGTATTCCTCAAATACCAGCATACATACTGTATATAAACCATCTGAATCATCATAACTCGTGTGATGTAGAAATGGTCACATGTGAAGCTGCATGCCTACTAACTCTGTGGCACATTGGGAACAGATGTGACTGTGATGCAGATTATTACATAAACACAGTGATTCATGTGAAATTCGCCTTCAGCCTCTTTCATGACTGCCTTTACTGCTGGCCAATGGAAAACAAAAGCAAGCAGGTATGCAGGGGTGAAGGCCAAGTCGAGGCCCTGAAGGGTTGCAGGAAGAAATCATTTAAACTTCAGTGTTTTGGTAACCTACATTCTTAAAAGTAATTTCATATGCAGCAGGACAGAATATTAACTTATCCAGTATTAAATTTCAGCTTTGCATGCATGCAGCCCGGAGAAAATAGCAGACCTAAGCGTCCCAGCAGAGCGGGTTTTAGGCTGTTTCTTGTTCAAATGTAGAGAACACATGAGCGTTTCTGCTGACGCGACCCTTCAAACTACTCTGCTGTTTCATAACAACGGGGGATATGCACACCATTAGCTTCTTGCTGCTTGTTTAAATAATAGAACAACTTGCTGCATTACACACGTCCCCGTTTTGAATATATACACATGAATGAATTCCAGAGCAGAGACAGGGACTTTGAGCGGAGTAACCAACAACTCATGGAGGCTCATAGGAAACAAAAAAACAAACAAATGCACTTGAAAACTTAAAAATGAGTCATTTATAATCATTTTGTACGCACCTCCTGCCTAAGCTTCAACAAACAGTAGACATAAAATCTGTCCAACTCCCAAAACTTTCAAAAAGGACTGTACATAAGAAGGAGTCCTTCAAAATCTTTCAAACTCAAATCTGTTGCTTTCCGTTTGCAATTAAAGTAAAAACTTTTACTACTTTTAGTATTATCTAACATACTTAGTTATATTATATTTACAGGATAACAGTTTTCCACAAGAAAAAGGGAAGTTAGACATCCTTTCTTTCGATGTAATTTTCAATGATAGTTACAATTACATGACAATTCAGAATGGACAGTGACACCCCAGAACCCCCCTTTTAGCCCAGCCCATGCACAGACAGAGAACACTACAGGCATTGATATCACGGAGTCACAGTCTGCTGCAACCAGTCAACACAAATCTCGGCTAGCACCTGAGGAAACTATCACATCAGCAACTCTTTAATATGAAAAACTCTTCATGTTATTTCTTTCCACATCCTCCACCACTTCTCCAAGTTTAATGAAATATAGTCAGGTAGACTTACAGTAACTTTATTCAACAAAAACAGCAATGAAACATAGCAAACATACCTTTGATTAGGCTTCCAATCAACAACACATGCCAGAAACCAAAATGAGATGACAAAACAAACCTGCTACAAATGGATGATGCAAAATTCCCACGCAAATCCACAGTTCAAAGTTTGCATGAATTTGAGCTTTTTCTGCATGACTGCATTTTCCTGTGTCCATTGCTCTTAACATTAATACGCATGTACGCATGTGTTACTGAGCATTATGACTGAGAGTTTAATCGGAGACTGTGCCAAGAGACAGCTATGTTAGAGAATAAGTAAGTTAGAGATAAAGGGAGAAAGCGACAGGATGTTATAGCACAAAGCATTTACCAGCACTGCTTCCTTTAAAGTAATAGAAAACAAGAATAAAGATGAATAGTATGCAAAACCACCCACCAAACTACGGTCGAACCGGCAAAAGATCTTCATTCTCAAACGCTTCGAATGCTCCGATAACATTAAAATGCACAAAAAAAACTTGTAAAACGGCTCCTGAAAAGTGGATTCCTCAGAGTAAAAGCATGTCTGTCTCCGTGCTGCAGCTCTCACGCTTTGTGCTGCTGCAGTCCGATGAGTAATTCCAACACTGACATGTGTGCCTTCCACTACAGCCACCTGCCTGCCACCCTGTGAGCCTCCAGATTATGGCTAATTACCATACAGCTGTCAATGTATCCCTGGCAGGGAGGTGTGGAGGAATTGCGGACTTTGCTATGCTGTCCTGTAGCTGCTCTTGACCCTCCAAAAAAGCAAGTTTCAACTCCCTAAACACACCTCCCTTACTGAAGAGGACCCACTGAGAATCCAACAGGCAGCCAGCCAAGACCCCAAACAAATCCTACAACTAAAGGCTTGATTTACCGGCCACACTGACAGCAGCTCTGCCCACTTAAATCCCTGAAATGTAACTGATAAGCCGGTGAGAAATCAAGTCGACACAGCTTACCTGCACATCGCCGCACGCTGGAGGAAACACTGAACAAGCTCTGCACTCTGCAAGCTTTCAAATCCTCAACAAAGATCATCTATTTTTAATGAAGCAACGTCACACAGACCAAAAAAACCCATCAGTGAATTATTAAACAAGCAGCCGGCCTCAAAGTATTACGAGCAAATATGTAAACTGATGTGGAACAGCAGGCAGGAAAAAGAAAAAACAGATGGGAACACTGGATGATGAAGACACGGTGTCCTGATACTTCATCCACCTGCTGCTGCTGTACACAGGTTGGTGTGCAAACCTAATACACCAAATGGTGAGCCCAGTTGGCTGTAGTGATTACACAGTCATCACTCATCTGCAGCATCCTTCTGTTCTCATTAATACTACAGTCTGACTGCTGTCATACCTGTAAGACATCTGCTTAGCCACTTCCCACTAATCCTCAACCAACCTGCTTGGTTTTTTCTACAAGTTTCCTGAACATCCTTTAAAATACTAAACTGATACTAAACAGTCTCCTGGAACTGATCTGTTATGCCAACATGAAGGAAACAACCACAACAAGACAACAACAAAGAACGGCACTGGTCACACATTAAGGTTAATGCTTTAATTGAACAATGAGCTTTAACAACATCCTCAATAGCAGATGTTGATGGATTAGCAGCCACCTAAATCCCTGACTGGGCTATAAGAAAACTTGCCTGTGGAAATAAAGCTTCTCCCCAAATACCTGGAAATTTGTCTAATGAGGTCTGAGTGTTTGGACATCATCTAATCTGAGAAAGGAGAAAAGTATTTACACAGAGCAGATCTGGGGCACCTATTACTTCAGAAAATGTTAAACGGGACAAAAAAGAATAGCCATTATTGCATTTTTTGCTTGGAATTTTAATAAGCCAATAAGTTAAGAAACAATTCTGTTTTTTTATTTAACAAGCTCTCAAGGAAAATATCATTTAACTGGAGTGACGTAACCAACTTACAGAGGAAAATATTTCATCATTACTAAATCACAAACAACCATGTGGAACACCTCATAATTAAAATAAACTTGGTGATGCATAAGGGGCAGCAGGCAGAACTCTGCTGGTTACCTAAATCTAGGATAGTAGGCAGAGCTTGGACAGGACTTCTCCATTAAACCTGTGGTTAAAAATGAATGGCTCTGGCATTTAGCTATCTGCACTGTGCAATGTGTACCCACACAGCAATAGTGACAGTTCTCAGTTGGAGTATTTTTAACTCCCTTTCTATCCCCCAGTTGCCCCTTTGCCCTGTGTAACTTTACACAAAGCTTATTGCACATGCTCAGTGTGATGAAGAAGAAAAGAGACCAAATGACAAAGTAGGCCAATACTGATCTAAAAGCAGCTGACAGTAAAAGAGGCTGAACATCCTACCCTCAAATCAAATCATCAAATGAGCTTCAGGGAAACTAGACATTAATTATTATAATGTATATAAATGAAATAACCCAGGGAATCAGTAAAAAAAAATAGAGAAGCTGACTGATTTATATTAAACTTGAAAAGCACATTCTGTGGTAAAATGTTAGACCGGTGTCTATTTTAGTACACCACCATGATCTCTCTGCAGAGGCCCATGTAAGAGACAGGTTCTACATAGGCCTTTCAAGCTAACTTCAGTGTTTCTAATTGTTTCGTATAAATGATTCAGGATGCACTTCAGCTTGCCCTCAAGGCTTCAGGAGTCCAACTACAGCTGCAGAAAACTTCAAAGGAGTTTGCCAATGTTCCCTGCTAACACTGTGGGCTAAGCTGCAACCGCCTCCTCTGACACTAAAATAAAGAGGTGCTTGAAGTAGAAAAACAGAATTCACATGGGAAGACAGATGAAGGCATACTCACCTGCATGAGGGTCTGGGAGGAGATGGTGGCATTGGAAACATGCAAGAAGAAGAAAAGAGAGGAGAGCATTAGCACCACCAACAGCAGACTGGTTAAAATAAGGATAATAGGCTAATCTTTCAGTTTCAGCGCGCCTCTGATTATCCTCATTACTGGATTTCCATCACTTTAGGAATGAGAAACAAAACACACCTATTGAAATAACAAAATGTTTTCATTCAGTGCGGTTTCAGCTAGTTTATTTACCACTACAGGCCCCTTGGTGATCAATGTTTGATGAAGCTTAGTGTCTAACAGATCAATAACTGGCCCCACATGCTACCCATCCCTTCCCTGTGGGTCTATCCTCAGCCCAGACCACAATGCCTGGAGGCTGACCAGAGCTGACTGACAGATGGTCACTGATCCTGGGGTCCAGACGATCCAGACCCATGCTGAAAATAAGTCTTTGTAAATTATTAAACATGCCTGCCATGCCTAACCTTGTCGATTTTGTTTTTGGGAAATTTATTAGAAAGCCAATAATACTGACAATTTAAAAAAATAAACAAGGTAAGTTATACTCTATTTACTCCAAAAGTTGGAAAATTGAGTGTCACAGCAGACACAATCAACAGAAAAAATTGCAAATTTTTGAGATCACTAGTACTAATAGCAGTTTTTGTTCACTATAGCTAGCTAGTTTATTATTCTTTACTTCTGGTTTCTATTGCACTTTTTCATGACTGCTCAGCTGCAAGTGTTTGCAGACAAGTCCATATCTTCTATACGAACTACAGACCACCGTGGCAATCTGCCTGTGATCAAAACAATCACAGGCAGTGTGGCTCAGCACCCTCTGTGTGACAGATCTCACCCATTTACAGCCAGAAGACACCCAGAGGATACAGTGTTGGTAGAGTCAAGTTTTTTTTAGAGTCTTTTTATGGCATCAAAATATAACCCATACAGTCAGCACTTTACATGACTGCTTATAAATCAGCTTATAAAAGTGCTGACAGTTACCATTCACAGCAGACAAGAGCAGGATTAATATCTGTTAAAACACTTAAATCTACCTGCTTTAATGCTTTAATCAATGCCTGGAGTTTGTTAGGGGGATTAATCAAACATTTCTCAGCTGCACAAGTCTAATCCTTTTCCAGCCACAACAGATCAACTGGTCCAAGTGGCAGACTGGATCTCAGAGGTGTGATATAGTATCAATGTGACTGGAAAGTCAATTTAATTGTGTATATTTTTCCCTGAGTAAATTTGAAATATTTTATTTCAATTTATTGTATCATAATCAGCTTTTATCTATTTAAATTAGTTCATATTTTACTTTTATTGCATTTAATTTTATTTCACAATATTCCATTACATATTTTCTTATTTATCTCCTTCAAACTATTTTATTTTACTCCTTCTGTTATATGTTTTTGTGGGGGGGTTTTTAATCTGAATTTCATTCATCTTTATATTATTCTGCAAATTTGAGATTTTGTTATAGTTTTTTCATATATGGCATGACAAAAAGGAAAACAGGGAAAAGGGGTCAAAAGAAATCTAATCTCTGGGAAAAATTAATAAGGAAAAGCTGTAAATTTACAAAAGAACGAGTGATACAATTGCTAGAACAAAGGTTAATTTACAGAGACAGGATGAAAAAAATGGCCAATGTATATGAAAAAAAACCTAACAAATTTGTGAGAAAAGGCTATTTTGCAAATATAAAAGAAAGAAATAGGAAATTATATAACAAAAAAAGGGTTAATTTATGTGTGAAAACAGACAAAATTACCAGGGGGGAAAAAACGTGCAAATTTCTGTAATAAACTGGGAAGAAATAAACTAGCATAACATTTTTTTTTTGAAGAGAGATATTACACGATACAACGTCCCCAGAGAAATGGTGTTGTTATGTTGGCTCAGTGATGAGCACAGATGGCAACATTACAAAGCAGAAGAAACAATTTTAAATGAAAACTCCAATCCAAGACCTTTGACCTGTGACATACTTTCTTTTAAAATCAAACTTAGTTTATTAACTATGTACACGTTCTATTTAATCAATCGAGGGGAAAAAAAGAGGAACTCACCCTCTGCTGAATCGTTGCATGTTTGTGCTCCATTTCCCTCTTCTCCATGGCTGAATCAATCACCAGCTGATCCAACTTAAAAGTCAATTCACACAAAAGAAGAAAAAAATCTGTTGTTTCAGTATTCATTCTGCTGTTAAATAACTAAAATATACTGTAAATCCTGTAAATACAGTCAGAGCTGGGATGATTCCGATTAGCTGACTATAACTGAGCCTTTTCGGGTAACCGAGAGAGTCACTAAGTGGAAATTGAAATTATGTAACAGGCTGGTATCAATAGTTAAAATGAGGACCAATCAAACCAGGGTGCCTGAGGAAATGAGCGGTGGTGAGGACAATCACACCTCTCACCTCTGCAGCCAACTTCTTCATGTAGGGGTCGATCTCATCCAGCAGGTTGTAGCCCTGCTGGAACAGCGAGTACTGGGCGTTCATAAATGACAGCATCTGTGTAGGAAATGAAAATTAACTTTAAGAAGTGCACAGATCCTTCATGCTTTTTTTGACTATATTAAAAGAATAAAATATCGGCTTACAGCATCTAGGATCTCAAATTTCTTCTTTGCCTGAAGTACATTGATCTGCAGAAAAAAACAAAAATGAAGTTTATAATTAACAAGGGAGTGGTCATTCACCCCACCCACTGACATTTTGAATTATAAAAATATTTCTTACCATGAATTTGCAAATATGTCTGATTTCATATGTAAATTCTAATTTATATAAATTAATAAAACCCAGAAGATATACTGCTTTTAATCATTTTTTGTTTTAGTCTAAGTATAATATGGTCAAAAATAACACCACTCTCCTTTAAGTCACTCAGGGTTAACATTATCTTTTAGTTGAAGCCCTTAACACTAAATATTATTTGACACAAACTATTAAGTTAACGCCCTCTGGTGGACATTATTATCTATCTATAACATGACCAACAAAAATAAACATCAGCTGGCCCCATGATGGGTTTGTTTCCTTCTCACTGCAGTAACAAACAGCCCTTATGCATCAGTTGGGACACAGAATGCAAAGCCTTTGCATTCTGTGTCCCAACTGATGCAAACCTAAGTGATATTTTGTGCTACGTTTAAGAGGTCACGTCCATGTAGAGCACATCTCCCTGCAGCTTTAACCTTTTCCACCTCGAGACACTTAAAGTTAAAACTCAATAGATTAAGATGTCTGAGAGCTGTGAGAGAAAGCTGCCGGCAGACAAACTGAAGAAAGGAAAGAGGGCACGGCCATCACGGCGATCGCTCTGAATCAGTCTCCTTTTGTTCCCGCGGGCAGTCCTGGTAAACGTGTGGGCAAAATAAGCCCATGCTACATGCGACCAGAGCAAAGCATGCGCCACTCAAGCAGAAGGGCTCTGGCAGACGTCGCTGCAGGCTGACAGGCTACATCATGGTCACTTTCTAATTGTAATGGCAACAAGAGGCTGTCTCGTGGGGGTGCAAATGAGTCTGAAGGGATTACACTGCTTCTTAAAACTTTACTCTTTTTGGGTAACTGAAACTGAAAATGATGCTCAAAATCGGTGCCTGGGTGTAGTTTTCATGATTTGTTACTCGGTACATTCTTAGATCTTAGTCCAGTGAGAGTATTTAGTACATCTTATATGTTGTCTTTTTTCTTTTTACAGTGTTTTTCTGACCTGTAGCACGTAGTCCAGAGCGAGGTGTCGGTAGCACTTGCGGGTGATGCTCAGCGCGCTAGTGGCTTCTTCGACCTCGTGAGGCTTGTTCCTGGGTGCCTGAGCGTTCTTCACCTGTGCTATTTCCATGTCCTCACGCACCCTGTCAAAGTGCTTTTTTGTCTCCTTGAATTTTCGAACGTCCCTGACAAACAAAATAGAACAAAATACAAGTGAGACATTAGCGTTGCAGGTTAACGTTACGTCTGAAAAAACATGTCTGGGCTGCAAAATGTTGTAGCCTGTTCTATATTTAAACACTTAAGAAAGGTTTTTGGGGGTAACAAGGACATGTAGGCCTTTTAAAGGTTGTGGAGTAATCCTTTTCCCACCTGTATTGAATATTTTATACATCTAAATATCTACAGGGATACTTCAGCAAATTGTAGGTTTACTTACTCTTTCACAAAATTGTGCAGCTGTTGCTTTACAGACCGCTGGGCTTGATCAAACAGGATCTGAAACAGGTCACAAATAAGACATTAGATGAAATTATTAATACTTTTAGACATTGCTAGTTCATTATTATTTATTCTTTGGCTTATGTCACCATAAAGTTATTATCACGGGATTTCATTTTGGTCATGGAAGCTGTGACCAGTAAATTTAACCAGACACTTTAGACAAGAGGACCAGAACCAGCCTGCCAAAGGGAGGGTATACATTCTGGCTTTTTCGCAGTTATCTCATATTCAATTTTACAACAATGATATCACCCATGACCAGCCATACTACCCCAATGTAATTAATATACATATATATAAACTAATAAAAAGCAAAAATATTGACAATTATACAAGGGAACAACTCTGGAAATATTACAGAAAAAAATCCTGGCTAATTTGCGAGAAGAAAACAGGAGGAAATTTACAAGAGAAAAAAATTTTTAGAGAAAAAAAAAGGTCAAAATTTACTAATGAAATATTTGCAAATTTACAAGAAAACAGTATTTCAATTTTACAGGAAATTCTTTGGCGAATTACAGTCAAAGAAATTTAATATATCAGAAAAAAACTGCCAAAATTTATAAAACAAATCAAATAAGGATAAGTTTATGAGAGCAATGTATATAATAGATAAACTCTTAAAACAGACTATTCAATTAAACAAGAGAAGTACTTTTAGTGATTTACATTTTATCATTATTGCTTTTTATTTCCTACTCTAACATTTCTTTCATCGGGCTGGCTTAGTGTGGAAAACATCTCATTGCTCATCATCATTTTTGTAAATGCATCATTTATAAAATGTGAATGCTATTGTGTGTATGTGGTCCACAAAGTAAAAAGCGTTCGACAAACCAGTCAGCAGACTAATATTAGAATAACTGTAAATAAATAAGTACATATTGAAAATACCATACTTTGATGCCCAATCAAATTAGTGCAGCAAATGTATATTTATTGTATTGCGTGATGTATGAACTTAGTTCAAATTCAGGATGAAATGTAATGTAGCATTTCTTATTCCAAGTCTTTTGGAAGAAAGCATCAATGTTCCTATTGTGATATGACTTTCAAAGTAACCAGCAGAGGGCGACAAAGCCCAGCTGTTTTCAAAAGATGCTCGTAAATTATGGAAATCAGACATTAATGCCTGTTTGAATGAGTGGAGAGGCAATGATGCTGTGACTCAAACACCCCTGCTCCAACACAATAACATGCTGCCTTCAGTTTGGCGTTTTACATTCGAGATCCCTCCTCTTCCCTTTCATGCTCAGAGAGTACAGTCAGTGTGCAAGAGCTGCTGCTGCTAAATAGGTCACTCGGGCAGAGAGGGAGGGAGTGAGGAAGTAAGCAAGAGGGAGGAGAGGAGGATTCTGGTACAACACAACACTGCAGTCTGCATTCAGCACAGGGTACAAACCAGTCAAACTGCCAAGGCCCACGTGTCCTTACCACAACCGAGCAGTTAGACTGCTTAAAGGGTTTCACCCTCATCCCGCTAGAATAATTGGATACATGCGTTTTGGTGTGGATTAGAAGATTTGAGTTTGCCAGGCTGTATAAATAGGCTTATGAGTGTTTTAACTCAGGGATTATAGGCGCGGATGATGGGAAAGACACTCTGCTATTGTTGTTGCTGTAAGCTGTGTATAGAGGGTATATGACAGGCTATTAGGGTCAATGATGGAAAAAAAAGAAGACATTGTGTTGGTGGTTGTGCAAAAACACAGTTTTTTGTTGTTGTTTTTTTTTATCTGTGGCCAATACACCAAAAATGGTCCCATAGTTCCAGCTTTTTCTCTTAAATTACATTTTCTGTTTTAAAAATTTTGCAGGATTTTCATTGATAATTGTACAATTGCCACAGCCAAAATTTGCCATTTTTTTCTTGCAACATTTTTTTCCTTCTTAATTTTTTCTTTTTATTTTGTTAAAAAAACACGAGTTATCTCATGAATTTGCTGTTTTTTGTCACAAATTTGCCCATTTTGTTGTAAATTAACAAGTTTAATCTAAAAAATTTAAAAAAAAAAATGTCAGAAAGATTCTACAAACTTAACTGTGGGTCAAATGGAAGTGGTATTTTTAAATGGATTCTCTTGATGCCTCAAAGAAACGTGTTTGTTTTGATGGTGGCAGCCCACTCGTTTGGCACTTTGCTGTAATGCTAGTGAGGCTAGCTGAGTAACCTTTCCTGCTTCTTGGAAAGTAAAATGTTTAAAATGGCACCCTGTTTGGCAGTAAACAGGTCTGATAGTGCATATGTGGTCTGCCTGTTTCCCTGAATGTATTTTAACAAGCTCTCAGAAAAGTGAAAGTGGTAGCTGGAAGCTTGGGCCATCAGGAGCTTTCTCAAACACGTGATGCCTAAAACACGAAAATCAGCAGTGCAGTGGTGTATGGCGGTCATAAACTCTCCAGGGTTGGATTAGTTTAAGCGTCGAGCAGACAGAACTGAGGTGGACTGCGGTTTAAAGCAAACCGCAGTCTTTAAAAGTTGTGGGCTCACCCAGCACACCTCTGTGATGTTTGTGTGCGGCAGGAGAACTGCTGTGAAACTTCCTGGCTTGGGGGGAAGTGCAGCCTGTTGCATTCCGGAGCTATTTTTGTGGCAAGCTGACACCCTTGTTTCACCGGACCAACATGCATCAGGTTGTCACTGCATAATGCAAATTGGGCATATTGTATTGTAATCAGCTAAACTAGTAATGGGGCTCTGGGGACTGGTTATGATTTATGAAAAATGATGGAAATTGTCAGACTGGACTTCAGAGGTTGATTCCTACCTGTCACACTTAAAAAATGGACCCAGTTTTCCATCGCTTGAACTTTAGTTTGAACCTAAAGTCACAGTGTGGAGCTTCAGACTAATAAATATAGAAAATGTGTTTTTTCCATGTTCCCATTTTTGGTTTTTATGTAGTCAGAGATAAGATATTTCTGTTTTGATTGTCTCACATGGCTCCACAGAAACACTGTTTGTGGCCTTAAACTATAGTAAGCATTAGGTAATTTGGAGGGGCAGAAAAAGCTACTAAAGATCAGAAGCACTGTGGAAAAAAAGCTTTGAGAATACATCATATTTTGTGGAGAAACACAATCATTTACAGGGGGGAAAAACTATGGATTAATGTAGGATAGCAAGACTAATGTGTTTTATTAGTCTACATGAAGCAATGCTCCCTTTGGCATCTGTAATATAAAAAACCTTCACTGCTGAATATACTGTACATCCATATTTTGTATGTAAAAATGCATTTACCAAGTCATATCCAAATACACACTGACTTCATTTGCTAATTACTGTGACAAACCAGCTAACAGCTGGTGGTAGGTAACAGACACTGGCTTGCAAACTAGTTCAATTTGCATAAATATTATGTTTTATTTCATTTACATTTTTTCGATCTAGACTAAGAAAATACTTGGAAAGTGTAGCTTTGTAATACAAGTATACGGATGCTTTATCTTTTAAACATCAAATATTGGCCTGCTATACATTAGCATGTAGTTAATATACTAACTGTACAACATCTAATTGCCATCATAACTGTATTAACAAAGCTGGGATACAAAAGACAGAATTAGAACTTTTAAAAAGTATTTTTATCCTACATTTCTCATAAGTTTAGTGTTCAACAGAATACTGAATTCTCTTTTTTCATAATCTTAGTCATATATTCAATTTTGTTAATTTTTTCAAATCTTATTTTATTACTGTTATATTATTCTATTACTGTTAGCCCTGAAACAGGCTGGTGCCCTGTCCTGGGTGTATCCACCTCTTGCCCTATGGCAGCTGAGATAGGCCCCAGCCCGCACACGGCCCTGAATTGGATTAGCATAAGAGAATGAATAGATGGATGGATGACTGTTATATATGACATTTTTACTCACTCACAGGATAAAGCCTTCAGTATAGATCTGTGGAACTTTTAACAATGTTTGTTTTTACTGTATTTTTTATTGTAACAACAAAAACTGTATGATTCTATTGTCTATCTATCGTTGCTTAATGGCATCCCACCTGACAGACCAGCCATGTTAATTATGACAGAGTGCCACTTTGTTTTGACTTGAAATCTTCTTAGCAGTTAAATGTTAAGAGCAACAGACATTTCATTTCCATATTTGACAGATAAGCACAAACTGTAGAGTTAATGTCAAACATAAGTAAGTCCAAGAGTATCTGGCACACCTTCAGCATGCTGACATCAGAGCTAAGGAATGAAATGGTTGAAGACACCATTACAAAAGACTACTGTACTGACTATCACTTTTTTAAATCCCTTCGCTGATTCCACCAGCATGTTCAGACAGAATGATGTGATTTAGTCAGTCAAGCAATTATCTCAAGCCCACTCCGTGCACAAGAACACCTTTGTCAAATCGGAGTGGGTAAAAACACACTGTTGTTTTTAGACGTTATCCAGGAAACCATGCATGCTTCGTGTCTCTAGGTTTGGATTTGACTGTGAAACTGCAAGTGCGTTGGGTAACGACTTGTGACTGAGAATACTACAGTTAATCCTCCTTTCTTACGGTCAGCAGAAATTACAAAACCAAAATGCAGCATTTGAGCCCATAAACTCCGAGCTGGGAGCCAAAGGCTGTTGTCCCACATACTTCTATATAACCAGATTACATAAAAATGGATTTAATTAAAGATGTTTTAGGCTGGAAATGCAGGACAAAAAGAAGCACTTATTTGTATGCACTATGGGAATGTTTTTCCTTTTTGGAAATTATTTGGATTGTATATGCCAATGGTTGAAGTGTGATTTGTCCAGGGCACCAATGATCTATCTCCTTGAATGCATTTATAAAGAGAGCACTGATGGTGGGTCTAGTGACTTGTGCCAAACTAATCCTTTTGTTTTGGAAAGAATCTCAAACTCTGATAATAAAACTCCAAAAGGTTGATTCTGTTCATCTGGACGTATCGTTTTCAGTGGGACTACGTCCAGATGAACAGAATCAACCTTTTGGCATTTACTTACCTGGAGGATTGA